CAAACCTGTACAGTGTGTTACTGTACTGAACACTGGTCACTTGTAACACAATGGTATTTGTGTATCTAAACACATCTAAACACAGAAAAGGTATAGTAAAAATATGGTATTATAATTTTATGGCACCACCATCATATAGATGGTCCGCATTGTTGGCTGAAATGTCTTTTTGTGGTGCATGACTGTACTACATCCTTCTTTTCAATGCCGACGTGTCTACATAGAGCCAGAAGTTTGATTCTTTTTTATCACCTATTCATATTTACCTTTAATTCATCCAGATATTTGGAACCTTTTTTTTTTTTTTTTTTTGAAACAGGGTCTCACTCTGTCACCCAGGCTGGATTACAGTGGTGAGATTATAGCTCACTGCAACCTCTGCTTTCTGGGCTCCAGCAATTCTCCAACCTCAGCCTCATGAGTAGCTGCGACTCTGAGCACACACCATCCCACCTGGCTAGATTTTTTATAGCTTCTTTTGTAGAGACGAAGTCTCACCATGTTGCCCAGGCTGGTCTTGAACTCCTGGGCTCAAACAGGCATCCCACCTTGGCCTCCTAAAGTGCTGGGATTACAGACGTGAGCCATCCTTGCCTGGCGTGACTTTTTTTTTTAAGTGGTGCTAGGCCTTATGAAGCTTACTAAAGAAGTTTTAAGATTTCTTCCTTCAAGGAGCTTGCATTATCAATGGTGAAATAAGCATTTCCCCAATAAATTAATTACAAGAGGACACAAGTGAATAATTGTGTACCCAAGTAAATGTCCCTGACAATGGGAGAGAGGAGAGCTGCAGTGAACAAGGATGAGTTCCCAGAAAGGGTGGGCTTAGCCTTGGCTGTGCAGGCTGGTTAGGTCTGGATAAACCCATAGCAAGGTAGAGGGCCCTTTCCCCTCCTGTGGGTTTAGGTAAGAAGTAAGGGAAATGGCCACTAAACAATAGCTTCGTCTTAATCTTCCTAAGAGAGCTCTCTGTTGATTTTTCAGGCCCTGTGAGAGGGAGTAGGGTGACCTCACTGGAACCATTCCACTCTCTGCATGTTCCTCTACTTTCCTGGGAACACAGCTTGGGGGTGTAGGTGGGTTGGGGAAGTAGAGGAATTATGCAGAGCACCTGCTAGTGTACTTAGTGTACAATAGGTACTCAGTATGTTTGATCTCTTTTCTTGGTTTCCCCACCAGCTTGTCTGCCCTGTCTTCCTTGCCAGAGACAGAAGTTAGTGATTGCGCTGGTTCTTCTTAGCTTTATATGACTGGATACAGAGGCCAGTCTCCCAACCTGGTTTTTAAATCTTTTTGTAAAAGGAAGCTTTTTTTTTTTTTTTTTTAAATACTGTGGAAGGAAAGGAGTAATTTCCACCCCGTTTTTTTGAGACAAGGTCTTACTCTGTAGCCCAGGCTGGAGTACAGTGGTGGAATCATGGCGCACTGCAGCCTCGACCTCCCAGGCTCAAGTGATCCTTCTGCCTCAGCCTCCCAAGTAGCTGGGACTACAGGTGCATGCCACCACACCTGGCTAATTTTTTAGTTTTTGTAGAGATGGAGTCTTTTTATGCTGCTTAGGCTGGTCTTGAACTCCTAGGCTCAATTGATTCTCCTGCTTTGGCCTCCCAAAGTGCTGGGATTATAGGCCTAAGCCACCATGCCTGGCAAGTTACTTTTCTTGAAGACACAGAAGCCAGACTGGGAGACTATTAGCCCAATGCCTAAGGGGTGGAGTAAGAGAGGACTTAACCTTCCAGTATTAAGTATCTAGCTTTTCACTCCTTCCTGTCTTCCCCTGAAGGGGATCCTAGATATGCTTGGTTTGGCTGTGTAAAAGAAATAGCAATTAGAATCATTTACATAAAGTGTCTACTATTTATGCTTACTTACCATGCAGCACAATAACAATTATGCATATCATTAAATATATGTCTGACTAATTTTGCTGTAAGTTTTGATTATAATACTACACACTAGTTAAGTTGGCTCAGTCTACTCAGTTTTTTGCTCAATGACGTTGTCTATTCAGAACTACGAAAAATTAGAGGGGATGCTTTTTTTATTTTTGAGGCAGAGTCTCGCTCTGTCACCCAGGCTGGAGTGCAGTGGCACGATCTCGGCTTCTGCAAGCTCTGCCTTCCAGGTTCATGCCATTCTTCTGCCTCAGCCTCCCAAGTAGCTGGGACTACGCGCGCCTGCTACCACGCTCGGCTAATTTTTATATTTTTAGTAGAGACGGGGTTTCACCGTGTTAGCCAGGATGGTCTCGATATGCTGACCTCATGATCCACCCACCTCGGCCTCCCACAGTGCTGGGATTCCAGGTGTGAGCCACCTCGCCGGACCAAGGGAGTGCTCTTTAAAGGTACTGTTTGAGGGGAGAAGATTGACTGAGTTGATCTAGACTAGAACAAATGCACATTGCCTTTGCATTTACTTTCTGGAAAATATATCTAAGGCCAATTGTGTTAAACACCTAGGGAGAATAAAATCCCCCATTTACTCATTCAGTACATATTTATTATATACTTACTATATAACAGATACAGTGAGCAGAATATAAGTCCCTGTTCTCATGGAGCTTATATTCTAGTAGTGGGAGGCAGACAAGAAAACAATAAATATACAGTATTTCAAGTGGTGATAAGTACTTTAGAGAAAAAAATAAAGCAGAGGGAGAGGGGAATAGGCCATACCGAGGTCAGAAGTTAGCAATATAAAATAGGTGATCAGGGAAGGTCTCCTTGAGAAGAGAAGATGGCATTTGAACAGGGACCTAGAGTAAGTGAGGTAGTAAACTAAGAAGATTGTGAGGTGGGGAGAGTGCTACAGGTAGAAGGAACAATAAATGCAAAAACCCTGAGGTGTGAACAGGTTGAGTGTGGCTGGATTAGAGTAAGTGAGGGAGAGATAAACAGTGAAACCAGAGAGGTAATGGGGGAGGAGTGCAGATGGACAGATCACAGGGTTCTTAGGCCATAATAAGGACTTTGGCTTTTCCTTGAGCAAGGGAGGAACCACTGGAGGGACTTGAGCAAAGAAGTAATCAATATTTAAGCAAAGGATCACTCCACTCTATCTGCTACTATGTGGACAGTAGATTATTGGGTTGTGGGACAAAGGTGGAAGCTGGGAAGATAGAGTCAACATTTTGTTTTTGGCACTTTGATAAAGTAGAAGAAATGCAGGTTTTGGAACTAGGCAGCTCAGCTGTAATATTTCCTAATTGGCTAATATTTGACAAGTTATCTCTTTCAGGACAGGTTCCTCTTTTGTAAAATTAGTATCAGGATTGCCATGAGAATCACAGACACTTAGTAAAGTACCAGGCGTTGTGACTAGCATGTAATAGGTATGCAATAAATGATGGCTGTATTATTATTGACTGTGCTTTCCTGTCTGTGTAATCTTTCTGAGGTCTGTGTTTCTGTATGATGACGGGACATAAAGGATAAGCCACTAGTTGAGTAGAACTAAGAGAAAGAAGAAAGGCAAGACATAAGAGTCAAAGGGGTAAGAGTAAGTTAGGGAGAAATAGATTATAGGAGAGTTAGGGAAGCTGAAGGCATTAACTATATACACTTTGACTCTAGATAGAGGATGTGGCTTAGAGTTAGGATACTGCTAGGAGTGGACTTTCTCTTCAGGGATATCGCCTGGAAAAATAATGGTAGATGGGTGAGTAGGTAGGAGGAGGTAGAAATTCTTATTACAGATATGCCTGAGAGTTAACAGAGAAGGACCAAGGCCTAAAATAGGCTTGACTTGGGTGACTAAGAGAAAATGTGTAAGACCTCAGTATCTCTAAGTAAAACTTATTTCTTAAATTAGACAAAGTTGGGACTTTTTCTGTTCTATATATGCCTATCTAAATGTAATTTGTACCCTGTCCAGTCTTCTCACTTATATTAATGTGGCCTTTGTGGTACCCAGGAATTAAGTATATTGCTATATTGCTACTGGTACCTAGCTACTGAGGTATTGACAATTGTGAAATAACATAGGTTTTGTAGAAGTAATACGGATTTTGGGGACAGACTGACCTGTGGGGGATATATACAAATCAAATATGGGCCCTGATCTCACTGACATTTCAGTTCAATTAGGTAGATGAGACATGCACATGCATAACTGTAATGCAAGGTCAGAACTACTAAGGGACATACAAATAAAAATACTGTGGTGTTTCAGAGGAAGTACAGTTAGAGATTGAGAGGGAAGGGTATTAATGTAAGAGAACAATAGGCTAAAATTACAAATAGAAAAATGTGAAGAGAGTGTATAGGAAAGAACAAGCACTTCAGTGTGGTTATAGTGTGGGCATTATGAAAGGAACGGTAGGCAGTTGGAGAATGACAAATGTAACTTGAATCTTGTGGGTTAACATTTATATGAATTATGTGGGTTAACATTATGGAACAGCATTTTTTTTAACTCTAAAAAAATTATTGGTGTGTGTTACTAAAGTAATTATTTGTGTGTTTACTCCTATTGTAGTATATAGGACTCTTTTGGATGCAGGTGTTGAAAATATGATTTCAGTAGTGGAAATATGATTTCAGTAACCTTAAGCAAAAAAAAAAGTTAATCTGTATAATAATTGGCAAGTCTGTTTAGAGGTTAGGCTGAGCTGGATCTGGGAGCTCAGATAATGTCTCTCCATCTTGGAATCCAGTGGTCTCCATTCAACAGATGGCCTCTTCTTAAGGGACAAGCAAAATGGCTGTCAGTAGCCATAGCTTTTTTTTTTTTTTTTTTTGAGGCCGAGTCTGGCTCTGTGGCCCAGGCTGGAGTGCAGTGGCTCGATCTCGGCTCACTGCAAGCTCCGCCTCCCGGTTTCACGCCATTCTCCTGCCTCAGCCTCCCGAGTAGCTGGGACCATAGGCGCTAAGTTTTTGTATTTTTTAGTAGAGACGGGGTTTCATCGTGTTAGCCAGGATGGTCTCGATCTCCTGACCTCGTGATCCGCCCGCCTCAGCCTCCCAAAGTGCTGGGATTACAGGCGTGAGCCACCGCGTCCGGCCGCCATAGCTTTTAATGGAAAGAAATAATTTTTTTTCCCCCCTCAGACCATAGGTTAGTCTAGAGGAAGACTCTGATAGGCCTTTCTTGATTGAAGTGTCCACTTATGGTGTAGTCACTGTAACCAAGTAGATGGGTATGTATTACTTACAAGTCAGAACAAGTAAAGGAAAACTCTTTCACTAACTATGAGAAATTCTGTTAGTATCTTAGAAAATTCTGTCAGTCACAATAACAGAAAACATCATTAACAGTGAGTTTAACACGTGGGATTTCTTTCTCCTCACATCACAAGTCCAGAGTGAGGCAGTGGCTCGTTGATGTAATTGAGGATCAGGCTTTTGCCTTTGGCACTACAATCATAAACTTGTGGCTTGATTCACTGTTTCAGGATACCCATTGCATCTCTAGGCTTTGAATGTATGTTTGAGGCAGGAAGATGGAGAAAAAGGTAAAGGGACATGACTGCTGATTCTGACTCCTTTGATCTAACACTCATTCCTGCATTCTCATGGAATTTGAACTTATTCTAAATTATGGTTGAATTAAGGCAGTTCTAAATTTAGTGTTTGTTCATACCTCTTAAGTGTTTATATATCTTGTATATAAAATTATTTTATCTCTAAAGTCATTGATTAATTGCTTTTTGTAGTGGTTCAGCTTAAGACTTTTTCATATCCTGCTGTTAGTGAAATATTGTGCTGGATGCTGAGGGTGAGGAGGAGCGGCCCAAAAGACCCAAAAGATGGTAAGGGATATATTACAGAGCTGAATCGAATCTCAAATTTGTACTCAGAGAGTTTACAGTCCAGCAAGGGAAACAGACTTGGGTATGACTCTGTATAATACAACTCAGTCAAAGTGCTAAACTGTAAGCACTAACCACCCGCAAAGGAAGATATTAAATTTGATTGGTGGAATAAGGGAGGGCTTCTTACTTAATTGTTCCCCTAATATTGAGCATGGCTTTTTTCTTAACCTATTTTTTTTTTTTCTGTTAAAGATAAGCATGTAGGGCCAGTCATGGTTGCTCACACCTGTAATCCAAGCACATTGGGATGCTGAGGTGGGAGGATCAATTAAAGCCAGGAGTTCAAGACCAGCCTGAGCAACACAGGGAGACACTATCTCTACCAAAAATAAAAAATTAGCTTTGTGTGGTAGTACATGCTTGTAGTCCCAGCTACTTGGTAGGCTGAGGTGGGAAGATCGCTTGAGCCCAGGAGTTGGAGCCTGCAGTGAGCTGTGATTGCACCAGTCCACTCTAGCCTGAGTGACTGAGCAAGACCCTGTCTCAAAAAAGAAAAAAGGAAAAAAAAAATCTAAACTAGCAATGAGGCTTGTAATATAGTACTTTAATCTGGATTACTAAAAGTGGAATTACTAGATTATATTTATAAAGCTACCAGTAATTTATGAGAGCATTCCTTTTGCCTCCAAATACTGAGGGATATTCTTTAAAAAAAAGTATGGCGTAGTAATAGATAGTAACCAATGACATTTCATTGTACTTTGTTTCTTTGGTTAGTAGTGAAGTTGACATTTTTTGTTTTTAAAAAAATCAATTTATATTTATTTGAAGAATTATTCTCTGAAGTTTGCCTCTGTGTCTGTTGGGATCTCAGTATTGTTCTTATCAGTTTATACAAGTTCTTTATAAATGATTTACTTTTTGCCTCAGAGGTGCTTTCCAGGGTTTGTTTGACTCACCCATCAGTTCTCACAAAGTTTCCAGATTTATGCAGACTGGGCCAGCAGCCCCCTTCTTGCGTGAGCACTGCCAAAGCTTTTATTTCTTGAAATAGAAGCAGTGCTGATCCTGCAGAAAGATCTAATCGGTGTGAACAGAAGTGGCACTGATGTAGGGAAAAGGGTATTCAAATCCATGTAGAATTAAGAGGATGGGTGGGCAGCAAGTAGAAAGGAAAAAGAATTCATTGACTCCATGCTGTTCCATTCCTGTTTAAAAAAAAAAAGAAAAAATTCATTGCTATTACTGACTGGATGAAGAAGCTAGAGATAGAAGGAAGAGGAGGTGGGGCCTGGTCACGGGGGGTCAGCAGGGGCTGGATGCCCAAAGTGTTATGTTTAAAGGAACTAGGATGTATCTCCAGAGCAACTGGGAATTTAAAAACATACCTCTTCCACTAAATATGAAAGTAATAGAAATGAAACCAACAAGTGAAATACATATATTTTTCTATATTCTTTCTGGTAGGTTGCAAGAACAAGCACTTTCCCTCCCAGTATTGGGATTCTGCTGATATGTATCTGGGATTCTGCTGATGTCTGTCTGTCTGCCTGTCTGTCTGTCTGTCTGTCTATCTATATCTGTCTCCTGTATTTATATTTGTCCCCCCCAGAATTACATCATAAGCATCATCTAACATGCTGTTCGAAATTATTTATATTCATGACATTGCATATAGTTTTTAACTTTCACAAATAATACAAAATGTACTTAGTTGTTTTTCCTTGTTGTAGGAATATTTTTTGACAGAGGAAACCAAAGTGACAGGAGCAGCTTATAAAACAAAACGCAAAGACATTTAAGAAAGGATGTTTTGCGGCCGGGCGCGGTGGCTCACGCCTGTAATACCAGCACTTGGGGAGGCCGAGGCGGGCGGATCACAAGGTCAGGACATCGAGACCATGCTGGCTAATATGGTGAAACCCCGTCTCTACTAAAAATACAAAAAATTAGCTGGGCGTGGTGGAGGGCGCCTGTGGTCCCAGCTGCTCGGAAGCCTGAGGCAGGAGAATGGCGTGAACCCAGGAGGCGGAGCTTGCAGTGAGCCGAGATCAGGCCACTGCACTCCAGCCTGGGCAACAGAACGAGACTCCGTCTTAAAAAAAAAAAAAAAAAAGAAAGAAAAGAAAGGATGTTTTGAAACAGAGCCTGGGCACTAGGTCTTATCTGCTATAAAGTAGATTCTTCTTTAATCGGCTTCACCCTAGAACTGTTCAGTGTTTTCTGGAGAGGACATTATCTTATTCGAATGCCCACAGTACTGACATATACATACTCCTAGCTACTGGATGAACTCGTAGACCAATATTTCCACCCCAGACTTATGTTACACTGCATGCATGTTACTCCTCTTGGATTAATAACGTAGGAGTGCCGAGCGCGGTGGCTCAAACCTGTAATCCCAGTACTTTGGGAGGCCGAGACAGGCGGATCACGAGGTCGGGAGATCGAGACCATCCTGGCTAACACATTGAAACCCCGTCTCTACTAACAAAATACAAAAAACTAGCCGGGCGAGGTGGCGGGCGCCTGTAGTCCCAGTTACTCGGGAGGCTGAGGCAGGAGAATGGCGTAAACCCGGGAGGCGGAGCTTGCAGTGAGCTGAGATCTGGCCACTGTACTCCAGCCCGGGCGACAGCGCGAGACTCCGTCTCGAAAAAAAAAAAACAAAAAATGTAGGAGCTCCTCCCTGCAACCCCTGTGGTCTCAGTTGTCTACCTTTTTTTTTTTTTTTTTTTTTTCTTTGAGACGGATTCTCACTCTGTCGCCCAGGCTGGAGTGCAGTGGCACGGTCTCAGCTCACTGCAATCTCTGCCTCCTCGGTTTAAGCAGTTCTCTCCCTCAGCATCCCGAATAGCTGGGATTACAGGCACGTGCCACCATGCCTGTATTTTTAGCAGAGGTGGGGTTTTGCCATCTTGGCCAGGCTGATCTTGAACTCCTGACCTCGTGATCCACCTGCCTCGGCCTACTGAAGTGCTGGGATTACAGGCATGAGCCACCGCACCCCGTCTTCAGTTGTCTTCTAACAACTTTGTTCAACTTTGCTGTGGAACATTTCCTCATGTCAGCTCCACTAGGTTGCATTAATAAAGTAACTGTATGAGGTGACATATGAAATGGCAGCCTGACTGCAGTGTAGGTCTGCATGAATTCTCAGTGCTTTTACTCTTCCCATCTTGTTCCTCTCTTAACATTGACTTTGCCTTCACTTCAGTTATCCCATTCATTGTACCTTCATCCTAAGGACCCCCCTGCCTCAGGATTTCTCTTAGCAGTTTTCTTCTGCCAGATGTGCTTATTCCTTCCTTGAAAAATAAAATAGTTCTTTTTAACACCTGAGTTCATACCCAAAGCATTATGTGTTAAAGGAATATTAACAGCAAAAACCATTTTAGAGAAGTTCTTCACTTCATGATCTAGTCACACTTTTAAAGTCAGGCATCTAGAGCATTTTGAGAAAGATAAAAGTTCAAGGAATTAATATTAGATCAGTGATCTCCATTAGAACGATCTTACAGCCACAGTCAGGACTATGAGTATGTATTAATATAAGTTTTTATTATCTCCATTTTACTGATGATGAAATTAAGAGAGCTTTAGTACTTGCATTGTCAGGCAGTAAGCAGCAGAGCCAGGGCCCAGAGCTAGCATTCTTCATTACTGTGTTCTTTCTGTCTTCCATGTGTAGAGCTGGGACACACAAGGGAGTGTTCGAGAAGACCATGGAAATGTCAGTCAGTTTCAGGAAAGCAGAATGCTATACAGTCTTTTACCTCTGAGTGCAAACATGAATTCTCATCTCATCAGAACTGACCTTGTCAGCTTTTCAATTACCTAGAATAAATAGTTTGATGGATTAGACTCTTTGCTGGTGAACAGAGTCCATGTGACATAGTCACCTCTGTAAACCCTTGAGTGCAAAGTCAAAAAAAGATCAGATGAACCTTACTTCTTTCTGGTGGTAGCTGTGGAGATTGACCATGCACAGACTGATCTCTTACTAAGGAGTTTTCTAACGGCCTTATATAAAGGAAATACTTGATAACAAGATACTATTTTCTGTTAAGTAAAAGGATTTAATTTGCCGAATCTTTATAAGCCATGCTTAACATTAAGCAACATTATGAACATTTATGAACACCTGCTATATACCAGTAACAGTGCTTTTTGTATATTGTTTTAATCCTCATAACAGTCTTTTGAAACAGGAATTATTTCACTTATAAAAGAGGACACTGAACTTGATGGGGAAATAATTTCCCCAAGATCACATACCTAGAAAGTGGCAGGAGCTGGGATACACCAAGTTAAACTCAAAAGCTAGTATTCTGTGCTCTATAGAATCTTCCATGAATGTTCAGATTTTTTTTGAAAAAGTAAGTTTCAGAATACTAAATCCAATATGGTGGTTAGTATATTGTTTAAGAATTTGTGGTAAAACTGTGTGTTTGTATAAAAAGAAAGTAAAGTAATATAATTTTGAGAATAAAGGCCACCTCTGGGGTGGGGGATGGGGTGGAGGCAGAGAAATGAAATCAGAAACAAGCATACAGTTGGCTAATCAGTTTGGGCAATATTCTAGTTCTTAAGTTGGGTAATAGGTTCACATATATATTCTTTTGTACATATTACATTATAAAACCTTTTAAAGAATTGTATGTTTCTGTTACGCACCACTGTCATCCATTACATTTTCAGAAGAACCTTGGTAAACATTTGCTAGTGAAGTTCAGATAAATTCAGAGTCTTTTCTCCATATGAAACTTATTTACTATTATCTTTATTTAGGCTCTGATGACAGTATCCAGTGTGATTTGACTGCCATTGATGATTCTTTAGAAGGAGGGCTCTTGGGGGTTTTTCCTAGATCCTTATCTTTGTTATGTGATTTTCATACCAGTTTCTTCAAAAGACAATGGCTAGTTTATCTTTGGTATTTGTCTTGCAAAAGGACTTTGTGTGTGTGTGTGTGTTTTACTTTTAATTACCAAAAA